AGTCAGCTGGGATAGACTCCAGCCCCTAGTGAGGATTAAGCGGTGTATAGATAATGGATGGATGTCTTTTATTGACTTCTAAAAACGTCCCTTTGGAGTAAAACACACAAATAGGACAACAATAAAGCTTTCTGATTGGCTTTTTTTTTTTTTTTAACGCCCAAAAAGGTGGAAAATAACCACAGATGTTGGAATCAGAACACATATGCAGATGCTGTTTGACTTTTGTTCCAAAACGAGAAGAGAAATCAGAGAAACTGGTCTGACACAATAACACATGATCACACATTTCTGAGCTGACTGATCATTTGGCATGGTTGGTGGAACTATTTCCATTCACCTGTATAAAAACAGTTGGATGAACCTAACAGAAACGATATTTCAATCACTATTCCGACATTGTTTTCCACCATTTGTGCTTATGTCTGCTACTGCTTAGTGGCACAAACTGTTTATCTACAAGAATAGAATAGAACTTTATTGATCCCTTTGGTGCAAACCTCAGGGGAATTGTTGTGCTTAAATGCTAACATTTGACTGACTGCTTTTCGACAAGCATCAATTGAGATTAACGTCATAGATTTAGTTGGAAAGCCAAACACTACAGAGGGTTCTGTGGGCACATATTTATTGTAAAGGTTAGTTGTGGTGCTCCTTTACAGCAAAATAATGTCTCTAGAATGTGCCTTTCAGTTTTTCAGTGTGCAAAGATGAACAATTTCACCATGACTGTAAAGCTCCTGTCTTCAGCCCTGTTCTAGATGGGATGTTTCAGTGTCTGTCGGTATAAATAAAGTGAAGCTGAACACTGTCTTCAGGAAGAAGACTCTCAATGCATCTGTGACTGAGAGCGCAGAGCTAAAACAGTTGACAACACGGCAGCCGAGACAGATGTGAATGTGTGTGAGAGCAGCACTTTCTCTCTGAGTGATGCACAGCTGTTGTATTTAACTCATGTGTAGTGAGTTTGTCAGATAAGATTGCTTGTTCTGAAATCAGTATTTTCGCTGCAGAGCTGCAGCTTGGAAATGAATCTAAGTGTCTGCTGGTTAATATGTAGTCTTAACAGGCTGTGTTCCAGTCACTATTTAACACTGTTTTCGTTGTCTGACAGCACGAACTGAAAATGTGTAAATAAGAACAGCTTTTGTCGCTGTATTAAAATGCAATGTGTGTGTGTGCAATGGGAGCAAGAGCAGAGCTAACAGATGTAAAGAGCAGCAGAAGTTGCAGCGACAGGAAAACCCACCCGGTCCTTGTTTACTGGTTTCAAATCAGTCTGAACATCTCTGAAATTCTGAACGTCCCTCAGCTTTACACAGCTAATTGTAATGTCATATATAATGTTCCTGCTGTTGTGGTGACACTGCCATCAAGAATAAAAGTAATCCATAGAGGCGACTGTTGGATTTGTATGAAAAAAGGTGTTGGTCAAAGTCACTAATAATATCAATCTGAAACTAATAGAGATGTGAAATGAATTGAAAAATTTGCAAGACAATAATGTGCAACAAACATTTCCTACTTAGAGTTTATATTACACTTATTGTACAATTTGCATTTGATATTTTCTGATTGTTTATTTTTGCTTATTTGTCTGTATTTATGGTGGTGGTAACTTTACTCTACTCAACCCTACTGTAAGATAATTGATAAAAACAAACAACTAAATGACTAAAAATTTCATGAGGAACTTATTCTTATGATTACAAACTAAACATGTACAACACTGAGAATCACTGAGCAGCAGCTACAAGTTGAAACAAACTAAGGAAGCTATGACAAGCAGGTGCTATTGACAGATTCTTTCCTGTGTCATCATAAACACTTGGGACAATTCTCCAGCCTGCTGCACAAAGCTGTGTCATTCTCTGCTCTTCTCACTCACCTTCATTGGATTTCCAGCGGATCAGCAGGTTGAGGGAGCGCACGCTGCCAAAGGTGGCTGGTTGGGTCAGGTCGTACACAGAGAAGGTCCGTCTATCCCCGAGCACCACCGCCTGGCTCAGCAGGGAGGTGGCCGGGCTGAGCTCAAACTGCTCCCCCTGCAAAACGACGTCAGGTTTGTTGCAACGTAAAACAGACCTCTGTTATCTCTATATTCAAATATTACTACGTTCACAGTATAATCTGTTAAATCTGTTTCAAACAATCTCATTTAATATCTACCGTAATTTCCGGACTATTGAGCGCACCTGAATATAAGCAGCACCCACTAACTTTAAAAAGAAAAAAAAAAGTACATATAAGGGCCGCACTTGTCTATAAGCTGCAGGTGTCCACGTTGGAACATGAGATATTTTTACTTTTAATTAAATATGTACCGGTAACATACACAAACATGTACTGTAAATGCTTTTTTTCTGAACAGTGTCTGTAACACGGCTGACTAAAAAAATTAAAAAATACAGTCCACTACCAGGAAAAGTCATTGATCGCTATCTTCATCTTCCTCCTGCGCACTAAAACCACTAAAGTCGTCTTCTTCAGTGTCGGAATTGAACAGCCTCAGAATTACTTCGTCACACACTTCCTCAGTCTCTCTTTGATTGTCGCTCTCAATGTCACAATGTCAAAAATCGTAAAAATCCATAAATTCGCCGCTTCATTGTTTAAGCTGCAGCGTTCAAAGCGTATGAAAAAAGTAGCGGCTCATAGTCCGGAAATTACGGTATTTGCTAAAAGTAATCTCTTGCAGTCTGACATTTGCATCAAGGGAAAGAATCAATGTTTTATAGTAAACGCGAGTATATTCGAGAAAATCGAACCTCAGGGTTGTCTGTGATGTCGATATATATTTTACTGGAGGAGGCCAGCGGACAAGCTTCTGTCAGGGTCCGGGAGAACATCTTGAATAAAGACCACTCTGAAGGAACAAACAGCTTGGATTAAACAAAGGCCGGGGGGATTTCATGTCAACTCAAATGTGGAATGAGCGCAGGAAGAATGTGCTCTTGCTCACCTCGTTTGCCCTGTCCAGAGTTGTGCAGGTCAAACACTACATTCAGCGTCTGTCTCAGCTCCCAGGATGTGGTTTTGCACTGCCAGTCCTGACACACGGGCCTGATGTGCACTGCCTGGGAATGAAAACTGCTGTGGAAGAGCTTCTCTGACTTCAGCAGGACAGCGAGACCAGTCTGCAAGGGCAACATGACCACATATAAAGATGGAAACTGAGTTGGCTGCTTTAACACACGATGGGAACACAGCTGGCATTTGTGTTCTGCTGTGTATTGTTAAAAGACAAATAGAGACACAAAGACAGTCACCTTGGATCCACATGGCAAGAGTTTCTTCCAGGGTGTCAAATTCTCAGTGCAAACAATTTCTCGTGGGAGGGTGGCGTAGCGAAGGAAGCGATGGTCTGTCACTTCAAGTCCGACAGAAAAAAACAAATATCAGTCCACACATACGTAATAGAGTGTTTTCTGGACAGCACACTTGGGCATCAGAGCTGTGAGACAGTATTACACACTCATGATTTCTTTTATTTCAGTGTCTATCTCGTACTAAACTGCGTCAGATGCTAAAACTAAATCAAACAGAAAACAAAAGCAACCCGAGTAAACACAAAGTGTAGGTTTTAAATAACTGCATCTGATACCAATTGAGACCATGTGAAAAAAAAGATTCACCGGGACACACCAGCTCTCTTCCATCAAATTGCAGCTGAAAGAGACTATTTTCAGAAGCAGGAAGCTGGCCGAAAGGTCTCACCAGTAGTACACTGAAACCTCAGAAGAGATGAGGAAGAGGGTGATTGAAATACATCAGTCTGGGAAGGATGACAAAGCTATTTCTACAGCTCTGGGACTCCTCGGTAAGAGACATTATCTACGAAAAAGACTTTGAACAATAGTGAACCTTCCCAGAAGGACATGACCTTCCAAAACTCCTCCAAGAGCACGTCGAGGACTCATCAAGGAAGCCACAAGAGATCCTGGGAAAACATCCAAGGAGCTGCACTCCTCTTTCAACTTAATAAAGGTCAGTGTACATTAAGGCAGTCTGATTTTGCCACAATAAAATCAGATGATGCTCAAACCTTTTGGGAGAAGGTTCTATGAGCAGATGGGCTGAAAGTTGAACTGTTTGGTATGACCTATTTCACCTGGTGTAAAAAGAGCATTACATCAACCATGTGCAATGTTGTGGGGCGGCATGCTGCTGCAGGACAGTGGCTGCCTACTATAATTAAGTAAAACATGAATTCTGACAGAAAATCCTAAAATCACCAATCTGTGAACTGAAGCTCAGTTGCAACCAGTTACGCAGGAAGACCATGATCTCAAGCAGCAGAGTGCTTCCACCTCTGAATAGCTCCAAACAAATAAAATTACATTTACAAAGTGGTCCAGTCAAAGTCTGGACATGAAAGTTGTGAACCCTCCAATATGGCTGCAGCACACAATTCACAATCCCACCACAGCACTGTCAAAAACTGATCAGGAGCATTTGGTTGTTGCTGCTGAAGACGGCACAAGTTCAGTCAGCCTATTATATTTTTACATCAGTAATGCAAGAATTGGGCAACTTCTTTTGCTTAAATAAATACAAACATAATTTAAAACTTATATTTTGTGTTTACTCATATTGCCTCTTTAATTACTGTCCTGCTGTGGCTGTAATAGAGCATCTGTTAGTTAAATGGTACTGAAGATCATTTCATTTCATTTCTAAATGCTGCAGTATACACTCATGCTGTTACACAACCCAAGTCTGCTGCACAATATCTGTAACACCTGCACTCTACAAGAGCTTAAGGTGGCTGATCGCACCATTAGCTTTTACACAGTCTCATCACCAGAGAGCTTCACGTAGTAAAGGAGAGACTGAAGTACCGTTGCCTGTTCCCAGGGGCTTGAAGGAGGCGCTGGGCTGAACAGTGTTAGTGGAGTCAATGAAGTTCAGCGAAGCACAGAAGATGCCCGACAAAACATTGGTCAGCTCCTTCCATGTGGCGTCCACACTAAAAATGGCAGAAAAGCGACAGGGAAACGTTGAAATGAATGACATACAAAGCAACATGAAGAAAATGTACTGAAAAAACACACGTGGGAGTTTTTACTTTGGAATTTTTAGAAGAAAGCACATTCTTTGGGTTTAGGATTTATATCTGACAATATGTTGTTGTTTTTTTTGTTACCCTACTTCTCTCTTTGTGCTATCACCCTAAATTAAACAGGGATATCAGCAACCCCTTAAGTTTTCACTGATGGGACAGAGTTAAAGAACTTCATAGACATCTCTGGTTTACACCTTCCTTCTTGTCCATTGTGAGAAAACACACTACTTACAGAAACCAATTTCCAATAAGGTGTGGCTGCAGAAAAAAAAGTTGCTATAGTTTGCTAGCTGTTTTCTGATGGTAATATTGGTGAATTTCTTAAATTAACACTGACATCTAAATTAAATGATGGAGATTTTTTTTGCGAACAGCAACAAATTTGTCACATTATTTTTTCATCATGGAACATAGATCATGCAGTATCTCTTACCACAAACTAGTGGGGAAAATATACAACAGCACTGAGTTATACCTTAAAGCTATCCAGCTGAAGACTTTACACAGGACTTAATTCCTCATGAATTTAAGAAAAGAGAGGTAACAGTTGTAGTGTGCCTGGTGCAATAATATATTCACTGTGGCATTGCCCAACAAACTGTAATATCAGTCCTTGTTAGAAGGGTAGACAGCATTCCATCTAAAAAGAGGCAACACAAAGTGAGTCTGGCTTGTCTTGCAGTAAAGAGGATAATACTTATCCACTAGAAAGAGAGGCAACCAAACAGTTTCGATCTAGAAATCTGGCTCAGAGAAATGTTGGGACTCATATCTGACTGACATCAATGGAACAAGCTGTTAAAGCTCTTCAGGAGCTCAATGGGAGTCTCACAGGCACTTGGTCCGGAGTCAGGTCATCTTTGAATTAATTAAATCTCAGCTAAACCTCTTATACTTATTTATTGGTGCAGTACCTTCAGTCTGAAGTATTCTTTATTTGTGACCCTGAAAGAATGATGTGCCGATGTCCACAGCTATTCCTGTGATGCTTTGTGAGCTATTATGTGGTTGTAATATGTATTACTCTGCCCTGTTGCTTTTAAATGCACAGTTCCAGATTTCTTTTCTGTGTGTCTGTAGATATACAGTTTGTCTTACAAGTCATTAAAATTAGAATAAAAACAAAAAAACCTTTCCCGTTTTTTTTTTTATCTCCATGTAATTAAAACTGAGACGTTCTTCTTTGCTTATTGTCTCTTTGTATCATTGCCGTTAAATTTTCATTCTGAATATAAATCAATATCTTGACGTTACGGTTTGGGTGCTCATGGTTTCTGTTTGGACTGTTAAGTTTACATGATATGGACAATGCTTTTGTCTTTGTAAGATGATTAAAATGGAAGGTCAAGAGAGGCTTTAATCTTTTTTGTAAGGCAAACATGAAGCCCAGATGTTTGCTACTGATACTGGTTACAAGGAGCTACAATTTCACCTATTAATCCACAAAGCTGGTGTATTTAATTAACTTCTGATGTTCTGCAGACAGCAGAGGGCTGCACTCACTCTGTCACAGAGTCCTGGAACCAAACCCAGAGTTCGGCCCCGGGAGGAGACGGTAGAAAGGGCTGCCCCCACTGCATGGTTCTCCAGTAGCCCTGTGTGAAGGAGATGTGCAGCTCTCGCACTGAGAACTTGGAGATGACCTGACCCAGGGACTTGGGAAACAGCCGGTAGTGGGACACTGTGAAATGAAACACAACACAGTTTAGGGTTAGGACAGTCAGAAATAGTTGTATATGATCTAACAATAGACAAACAGGTACTTGTGGAATGTTTGTCAAGACTGTTGAATCTTATTTCAGTTTATTACAAAACTAGTGTGTGGCTACAATAGCAGCAAAAGCCTGAATAACTTAATAGTATTCCTGTGTCACCGCTTTGAATTCATCATAAAATATTCATTGAATGCAATCAAAAACTGCTGGATTTCTTTAAACAGGGACTGTAAGAGGAAAGGTGGCTTCAAGTAAGACCTTAAGACTTTTTTTAGACCTTTAAATATCATAGAGAATGGAAAACATAGCAAAATTCACAGCAGAAAGAAAACTAAAGAAAAAAGCATGTATATAGTTCAGTGGTTTTACTTTATTTTCTGCTGACACTGGGTATGTTATTCTTTCGCATTTCTCATATAAGTGCTCTCTTATGTGAAGGCTTGTCGCTCATTCAGTTTTGTTTGTGCAAAGGTTGCAGGCTTGACCCTGAGACTGTAAGGCTGCACAAGAGGCCTCATCTTGTCTTTTGAAGTCCACAAACAGAATAATGCAGAAGCCTTGGAGTGTCTTATTTGTGAAACAGGTAAAAAAAAAAAAAAAAAAAAACCAAAGACTGACCTTAATCTTTCTTTGTACGAGGGACAAACTTCTTTCTATAATTGTGTGTGACTCTTGTTACAGAGAAGAAGAAGTCACTTATAATTCATTACAATAAATAAATCTGATGGACATTTCCTATTAGGGGGGCTGCAAGGTGGCTCGTGGTTAGCACTGTTGCCTCGCAGCAAGAAGGTCACCAGTTCACGTCCTGGTGAGGACACCCGGGATCTTTCTGCGTGGAGTTTACATGTTCTCCCCGTGCAGCGTGGGTTCTCTCCGGGTTCTCTGGCTTCCTCCCACAGGCCAGAAACATGTTGAGGTTAATTGGTGATTCTAAATTGTCCGTAGGTGTGAATGTGAGTGTGCTTGGTTGTCTGTCTCTAAGTGTAGCCCTGTGATAGACTGGTGACCTGTCCAGGGTGTCCCCTGCCTTCACCCTAAGTCAGCTGGGATAGACTCCAGCCCCCCATGACCCTAGTGAGTATTAAGCGGTGTTTTGATAATGGATGGATGGATTTCCTCTACTTGGGTTTGCTTTTTGTAGAATTTCCTGAACCGTCTGCAGGTAATAATTTTGCTGTTTTACTTTGTCAGAGTACGGAGGCAGCAAGAAAACACATACAAACCTGAATAGTGAGCATAAAATCCTTCATTTCCATTTATCTACACTTTTTAAATGTAGCTGCATTTACAAGATCTACATTTCAGACAGGTAAACAACTTCAGACAGTATAAGAACTTCTCAGTCACTTCCAGACATACTGCAATAACAATCAGCATTTAAAGGGAGGGTATGATTTTCCATATACAATCTATGACTACATGAAAAACTCATACACGTGAGATTTCTGACCCAACATAACTAGCATGTTCTCCCACTGCTAGCAGTTAGCTCACCTTTGTTTCCTCTCATGAAGTCCGTTTCCCACTGGGTGCGGAACTGGAAGCTAGCATAGATATCTCCTGAGTGCAGCGGTCTGACAACCAACTCCTCCTGAAAATCGTCTTTCGGCTGCGGGAACGACTGGAGGACCACAGTTTCAGGGGCAGGAGTGTCTTGTTTCTCGGCTGCAGCATCATCCGGAGTCGCCTCTCTAACCTCGGTTGCTTCCCACTGCCTCTCCTCCGCCGCGGTCTGCTCAGCCGTTTGTCCCGCTGTTTCGGCGGCCGTTTGTGGATCATCCACCACACCGGCACGCTGTTCATGAGTTACCGTCGTGTCATGACTGCCTGCGATAACAAACACCGACAAGCTACAAAGAATAAACAGCCAAACCGGGCGGCTGCACCTGTGAGCAGCCATTTCTCTCCTGAGGCGGCGGTTCACTTCCGCGTTGACGCGTCAAACGTGAAACCAGCCAATGGGATGCGTCCCTATGGAGTCACGTGACACTGACATGAAACTGCTTTGTTTTAAGCAAAATATTAATTTACGAGTAAATGCTTTTATAAATGGAGTTAATACATTAGTTTAAGCCATTATTGCAAAAATCTAGACATTTTAACACATTTTAGAAGGCGGCATTTTATTGAGTAAGCGTAGCTTATTACTGATGCAACATGCACTGCTTGGATTCTGGGGAATTTGGTGTTATTATATATATATTGTTCATTGTACAACGTGCGTTATAGGGTAGTGGATGATAATTTGAAGCAAACTACAGTGCATAATATCCCTAGTCCTGATTTATATTAACTGTTTTGTTTTGCAAATGAATCATGTCTTTAATTTTGCACACTTTGGTCGACTCAGGTTGCTATTTATACCTATCTATATGTGTGTGTGTTTACTTTTTAAAAATGAATTAGGTCTTAGGGGTAGGCCCACAGCATGCACATCATAATTTGCCCAATGACTACATTCAAACGAATTAACCAATTACAGGCAATGAAATGTAGATTATCAATTAATTTAGCCTTTCCCACAGCGCTTGCCCGACTTAATCTGTTTTTCATTCCGTTATGTGCGTCGCTGGCTGTTATTACAAAGCTTATAAATCCCGGAACAGACGGTACATTAAAAAATATTTGCGTTACGGGTGAGTTTCCCGACACTAAAATCCACAAATATTTTTTTAAAGATATGCACGTTATCAGTGTGCATCATGCTTTGCTGCTTGTGTTGATTTCTTTTGCTCATGTTTGCTCGGACAGGGATGGGCATCATCAAGCCGTTGGCATCATCGGGGGCATAGCCTATTACCCCTCCCACATCCACACACACATATCAGCGCGCACACAGCCCCAGACACACACACACACACACACACGCACATGCACACGCACGGAATTTGCTCAGCCATGGCTCCCTGGTAGATGCTCAAAGCGGCTGTTGTCAGAGCGAATTAAATCCACGCTCGCTCGCTGCTTTCCTTTTTCCTTTTTCCTGACCTTGCCTGCCTCCGGTTGGGTTTTCAATATTTTATTCAGGATTCCTGCGCTGTCTCCCCCATGGCTACATCGGATGGACTAGACGGCTGTCTGCAACGAGGCAGATCTCAAAGTGACCCGAACATACTCACCGAACCGGGCATCGATTTGGCGCACGGCACAGGTAAGATAGACGTGTCATTGTCTGCACGTTTATTCTCGCTGTGGTGGAACATGTGTTTTATTTTTTATTTATTTATTTATTTATTTGAGATTGCCGCTTATTTTGGCGATGCAAAAGATTCCCCCCGCTTGCCCAGTGGGATGCCAGAATACCAAGGTATAATTAGCGCATATGCTTTCCCAGCGTTGGATGGAGACTGTTAACGCTGAATCGAGACGGGGGGGGAGAAAGCTGCAAATTGAAAATTAATGTGCCATATCACCTTCTGTGAATGGCTGCATTCCCTCAACCAGATTTACGGAGACGCCTGTAGCCATTTGGTGCCGATATGGATGCAAGTAGTATTTGGGAATCCGCGTGTAGGCCGTTTAATATGATGTTAACGTGTGCAACTTTGACAGCATCTATTTGCCCTCCTGCATGATCAGCCGCCCGCATGCATGTGTGATCCCTGATCCAGGGCTGAACAACCGGGTTATTCGTTGCCTCATAGCCACAGCTACATCCCTGTTTTTAAGCAGACACATGGCTTTTTTTTTTTTTTGAGAGGGGCTGCATTTGCACATCTTATTGTAGCTGTGCCCGGAGTTCTGTCCCTGCGTATTGACAGCACTGACATCCCCCCACCCCTTCCTGAGCTGATCACTGTTGTGATCAATGCACCCTGCTGTCCACGTGATGCAGGCCATAGGTGCAAATATACCCCCCCTCCTAAACCAGTACAGGCTTTTCTTTTTTTTTTTACGCACGGGAAATTGATTTAGCAGTGCATTGGATTTTCCTGCAGGTGTGCTTTCCAATATGGAGCCCCTTGTAAAAATTTCTCTGTCATCTTTTTTTTCTCTCTCTTTTGCATCTGGCTAATGAATTGATCCTTCATTAATAACAGAACACCAGGGAGCAGTGATGCTCAGCACCTCTCTGATGAACTCCTGCCAATAACGTGCTTCTCCTTGTGTTTGCTAGAAGCTTTTTTTTTATTATTCACAGGAAAATGCATGGTTTGATTTTTTTTTCTTTTTTCTTTTTTTTACGTAAGTTAGGCTATTTATGGTCATAGTGTGTGGGCTTGGAAAGAGTCACTGCTTTACTCCCACAAATGGTGAGTTTTACACACATGAAGAATACTTGACTGAATGATTCAGAAAAAAAAACGGTGTCACTTCACCTTTCAACTCTTCACTAATGAAACCTGTCTTTTTTTTTGTTTTTTTTTTCCACACACCTCTGAAACAAACACCTGTCCGCTCTCATCAGCTGGCTGTAGCACATTTTTAATGGACCCGTGCTGAATTCAACCCTCCCAAGGATGATTTAATTCACACATAGGTGAATGTGATGATGTCACACTGGGTCTTTGACACACCTGAATAAACAACGCGGCAGTTTGGCAGATCAGCCGGGGCGAGCGATGAGAGAGGTGAAGCTATCAGGAAACGTTGCATTTCAGCCTCCAAAAGCTGGAATATGCACACGTGCTCGGCTGTGTAGGATTACTTACTACACCAACACAACACAGAGTGAATACAGTTGTTACTGCAAGGACAATGTCAGTGTCTGGTGACCCACAGTACACAACATCACCCACCCCATCCCCCCTCTCTGTGTGGATCATCACTGCACTAACGTCTGGGGCACCAGTCTTTGCCAAAGTAATCCTTTGGCAAAGACTGCCTTTTTCCCCCAGTACAGTGGCCCTTGCAGCTGCAGAGGCTGACACTGTATTCATCCACTTAGTCAACACCGGGGAGAGGAGTCAATAGAGACAACAGTTACAGCTGACCAGAGAATCAGAGCAATGTTTTGAGGTTGCAGTAATCATACAGCAGCCGACTCAGAGGGGGACGAGTCAATGCAGGCCTCAGTTCAAGCGTCCAACAATCCAATCCTGCTTTTTTTCTCTTATTTATAAGTGCAAGAAGTGTTTTTGGTCAGACTCTGATGATGTTTCCTCTCTAGCAGGATTGAGACATCCTCTCTGAGCTGCAGATTCACAACTATATTTCACACTTATTTAGCAGCATAAGTCTGATAATAGGAGCAGCAGTATAAAAACTTGTTTAGTCAGTTCATTCAGACAAGGGCCCCTTAGATTCCCCTGCTAATAAAATGTCACTTTCGCTCAAAGTTCCACTTAGTCATCGCGGAGTGTCGACAAAGGTAATGGCGTGGAGAGGACACCTTGAAGCTTTGCGGACAGGGAGCTCGCTTGTCCGTGCTGGGCTGTCCTGTGTGGCTTCGTTCCATTAGGTATTTCTTCCGTCCTGCGCAACGCAGGCACTTATCAGGACAAGCAGATTGGGAATATCGAGACAAACGCAGGATTAATACGCGAAAATGGTGCAGATGTAGCTGCAACTATGTATATTGTGAGTTACGTTGAAGTTTTTTGATTAAATGGTTCATGTTTTAGCACGAATGTCATTAAGTAGGGCGGAACGGTGGCCAACAACCTTGGTTAGAATCTCAAATCTGTGTGGAGTTTGAAGGTCCTCCCAGTTTTTCAAGGGTTTTAAACCGGGTGCTCTCGCTTCCTCCCACAGTCCAAAGACATGCTTGGGTTAACTGGTGATTCTAAATCGGCCATAGGTGTGGATGAGAGTGTGCTTGGTTGTCTCCCTGTTGGGCCTGTGATGGACTGGAGATCTGTCCAAGGCTTTTGCTTTCACCGGAAGTCAGCTGGGACAGGATAAAGAGGTGTGTAGAAAATGGATGGGTGGATGTCATAAAATTGAAAAAAGCCAATCACAGTTTCCTAATAAAAAATGGATGTCTTCTGGTTGGATGCTTAGTCCGATCTACAGTGTAAAACTCAAATGTATTCAGTGTACAAAGTCAAAGAACAGAGAAAAAACAACACATGCCCTCTTTAAGAAGTAGGAACTAGCAATTATTTGACATTTTTGCTTGGTAAATAACAAAATGATCAACTATTTCATTATTTTTTATGCATCAGCACAAGATATGATACCAACAACCTGCTGCTGCTTTGGTGAAATACTGTAATAATTCATGGAAAAAATAACTTTGAGTGAAAGAACAGTGTCTCTAAAGCTCACAGACGTATGTCATCTCACTCAAGGCTACTTCAGCGTAGTGGTTCTGAGCTCGAACAGCGACTTAAACCTGTGAACAGTCGGACCCAGTTTACCCAGTTACAGGACAGTGTCCAGCCCAGAGCGCCTGCGGATCAGTGTTTTTTCCTCCACTGGTTCTACTGATACCAGGATAATCCTCTCGGATCTGGAATCAAAGGAATCTCTGAGGATTGCAGGTATAAGTGGAGCCCCCCCTAATGAACAAGGAGATATACCAGAACCCTGTGAAAGCTGATATGGAGCCATGATGATGACTCACCCCAAACCAGAGCAATGTCTTGTACATAATTCGTCTCTTTTTACTCAGGCCTTGATGAGTAAATATGTAAATTCTGAGTCAGCAGGTCTTGTATAATATGCTCCCCATTTAACAAGGCTTTGTTTAAAATGAAGACGTAATAATGTACATAAAACGGTGTTAGTGCCACAGGAATACCTTACGTAACAGTGATTTAAGACCTAGTTTTAGATTTGAATGAGTCGCTGCTGAATAAAACTGAAATAATTACACACTATATACAAAACTGCTCTTTATTGAGGCAAACTCCACGAACCGACAAACTTTCTTGTTGGGCAAATCATGCTTCTGTCAACATCCAGTCCTTGCTCTGCTTTTTAACTTCAGACAAATCGGAATTAAGAAAGCAAGTCCCCCTTTTTCAGGTGAAAAGGCGAAGC